AGCACAGAGCACAGCTGATCCTGAAGATGCTTTTTGTCTTTGAACAGCATATTAGTATCCTGCCTACTCAGGGCATATCAGAAAATGATTGAAAATTTATTAATAATCCATCTGCGGCACCCATCTAAACACCAATATTTAATGAGAGTCGAAACAGGATAGGAGAAGAGTATAAAAAATATGGTTACAATTAACTGGTTCTATTTATCTTAATGGGTTTGTTTATAGTAGTAGGATGTTAGTCACATTATTGTTAATTTGTAAATCAGTTTGCAATGCAAGAAAACATGACACTATTAATAAGGCAGAAATGTGACAGTCAGCATGTGAGTCAGGTAGCTATGTTTTTACAATCCTCAGCCACTATCAAAAGTTCCATTGTCCAAGAGGCTTCATCAACAACAAAGGGTTCTTTTGCAAAGCTTTTATCAGGGACACATCCTAGATGAGTACATCTAGGCATCTTTGAAACAATGAAAATTAATTCTTACTAGTACATAGAGTTCACAGGAATTCATATAGTAGTAACAGAAAAACAGTACTCTACTGCTTTTAAGCCAGAAACATGGACCTGTCAGTTTCAAAGTGGAAAAAAAAAACCAAAACAACACACACTTTCACAAAGAATTCAAAGTGCTGTCATTTAAAGGCCTGAGGCAATCTTGTACTTCCACTATTCCAAAATATCTAAGAGATTGGAAAAGAAATGCACCTTTGGGCTGATAGTTACCCTCCTGTTTGAAAAACTGTGTATAATATTCAAGGGAACAAAAAATAAAACCTCCTTTCACTCAGAGCAAGACAAAAGAAGACTGGCTTCATGGAGTTATAATTCAAGACAAGTTCCACCACTAATGTAGGAATTCTGATTTTAAAAGCATTTGTTCTTCTGTAGACTTATGTTCACAGGCAAAGAAGCCTGTAACCTCTCTATAAGCTAAAGACAGAAAATGAAAAATACGTTAAGAACTCTGCCTGTGGTCACAAGATCCCAAACAAAACAAACACAAAAAGCCCCACACATTGCAGGCACTGGAGCTCATGGTAAAAGGGGAAAAAAGGGGAGAGAAAGGGTCATCTGGAAATCTTTTTCAGAGATTAGAGGCAGTTTCTTGAGGGGGACAGATACTTCACTTGTCACCCAACAGAGGAAAGGAGCCAGTGAGTAGTAGACACATGAGAATACACAGTTCTTCTAAGCCAGCAAGATAATGTGTTTTCAGATCCTTTCTAAAAGGGCTGAAACATTAATCCTGAGCTACAGAGACAACACCTAGATAAGAGCTGAGCTTCTAATTTATTTTGTCGTGAAAGACAGGAGAGAAGGGCTAAGGTGTAATTACAATTCAATTAATATTTTCTTATGACATGTGCCAACTTCTAAGCAGGTTTCTCTTTACCCTTCGTCTCTTCTATCCAGCAATAAGCTTTTAAGAGTTTTGATTTTAAGGCCAGCTCTTTGAGGATGAGGCAGAGCAAGGGAGAAAGCAGGAAGCCAGATAGAAGGGGACTTCTTAAAGCAGAAGACTGCAGCAATTTCCACCACTGCCATGTCTGAAAACAGAGGTGTGCACAGACAGCAGAGGGTTTTTCCCTTCAGTATTTGCCGCAGCACAGAGATCCATGAAGCTTTTGTAGCCCCTTACAGTCACTCAGAGGAAAAGTGACCTGACATACACCAAAAGGTACAACACAGTGCCACAAAGCCCATCCTTCTGCAATGACATACCCAGAGAATACATCACTGCCCGTGTCACCACCATGTAGTCACACACATGAAAAATCCACGGACACAAGAATCATGAGCTGAAGCATACTTTGGGCCACGTTCCCAGCAGGGGTGATGGGTCAGGCTAGGTTCAACAGAGGTACAGGCTGGTTCAGACCCGCTGAAATCCGATCATCCACAAACCTCACAGGTCCACTGGACAAAAAAAGAGGAATACCGCCTGCAGCTTTTGGCCCTCTGGCACAAGAGGGATGTCAAAGACGGGAATGAGTTCAGCCATCCAGATGCTCCCTCCTCCTTTCCCCCCACTGCCCCCTTCCAACACACAGATACATACACACACACACACTCTGCTTTTAACAACCCTCTGGCATGCATCGAGAACCTTATAACTTCAGGATACTTGGGGATTTCCAGAGAAGTGTCTTATCCAGTATGGAACTTAGTGCTGACAAACTATCCCCTTCCAATAATCAAGGGCACAAACTGACGTTCAAGAACTTGTTTTTTGGAGAAAAGGGAAGAAATTCAGAAAATCCAGAAAAAGCAGGTTTCACAGGAGCCTTTTCTGAATTGTGACTAATGCAAGACACCAGCAGGATGTCGGTTTATTCTTAAGTAGGAACCACCTGGTAATCATAACAGAGGCAGGGACATCAAAGTTTGCAGATGCTGGGGTTATCTCCCATCCAACTCCTCAAAACCATTTTTCCCAGAGCTCCTTCTGCTCAAACTCAGTCTTCAGAGGAGAAAATCTATTTCACACCATTGTGTAAAAGCAGCACTCTCTCACACTCAGCTCCTCTGCTAAAAGGGATTCCACCTGCCCACGGACTGCCACTTCCCCAGCCTTTGAAAAGCCACCAAGAATCCCTTGATCCCCAGCCAGCAGCATGCCCCGGCGCAGAAGCTGAGCTGCACCCACCTCCACTCACCTGGCAGCCTGCGCTCTCAGGCGATAGCTGCAAAATCATGAGTTCTCAGACTCAACTTTCAAGTTCCCAGGCAAGCCCAGACAGGCCTCATACTTACAAAACACAGGCAACTAAGTGTTTAAAAGGTTGAACTACACAGGGCTACCAAAAGTAGCATTACTGAACCTTTTTGTTTTCCCAGCCTCAGACAGTCCATGCAAACAAAAAAATCTCAACACTTTATTTCTAGATGACCACAGCACAACAACACAGTGATCCACAAGGACAAGGCTGCCAGCATCACAACCCATCCTACAGGAGCACTGTGTTTTTAAGAGGTATAAGGTTTTTATTCAGCACCTTACCAGGTACCATTGGCCAGAGCTTTTCACTGGACCTCCTTTGGATCACTGTCAGAGGGAACCTATGACCTTCACAGGCAAAATAAAACTATCTTGCAATGTCAGCACCAATAGCCTGCTAAATCAACAGCCTAGCTGTTATTGTGCCCAAGTCATGCTAACAGTAAAACTCACCAGCACCAGGAAATTCAACAGCACAGCTTCCACTGACACACACTGCAGGTTCACAGATCATTGCTGTAGGCCCTAGACGGGGTATTTTGAATTCAGCCTCTACTTTAAGTTTTCTTCCAGTGCAGAGTTTCCATACTAAGTTCGGGGCCACCAGCAGTGACAACCCTGAGCTACAGAAGGCCTTCAGTAAACCCATCCCACTCGTACAAGTTTATTTTCCTTCCCTCCAAAAATCCACAATCATTCCTAGGCTTACAATCTCCCTACACATCACTCTCTGTCTATATAGCCAGGTGGCATTCACTTATAGAATTCCTGCAGCTGTAAGGGAAGCTACAAGCTCTTTACTATAAGGTTGCTTTCTAATTGCTAATAGAACAAACTCAAGCTATGGCAATACTGAAGTAGAAGAGAGGAGATGAACTTAAAAATTCTCTATGTAGTTAGTAAAGGTTTCAGTTTAACATTCATAGAATGTAAGAGGTCTAATTCAGAAGATGGGATCTGGAGCATTTGGGAGCCACAAGGAATGTTGTGGGTGGGTTACATCTTAGAACCAGTACAAGCCGAACCAAAACTTTCCAGCTATGGAAGCAGAAAGAAAACTTTCTACGCCAGTTGAGCCCTTTCGAGTGGCAATAGGAAGTTAGGAAATAAGGGGCTGAACCCACATTTCAGGTGCCATGTTTAGAAATTATTAGAAGCTCCCTTGGACACAAGGTACTTCTCCCACTGAAGCCACCTCTGCTCTATGTGTTGCTCGAGGCCATTTGATCTGAATACAAATTTTAACGGCAAAAATGGACAAAAATGAGCAGCACCAAGCAGAAAGCCCCAAAGACGCTGCCTTCAACACCATCTCAGCAGGTGATCAGAGACTCCAGCAAAGGTTAACGCTATCCGTACTCTTTCCAACTTCCGCATTACCTACACCTTGCCTGTTTTATGTGTATAAAACACGGGCTTTCGGGGAGATTTCTCAGTTTTGCTTAAATGCTACTTATTTTATCCCTCAGAGGCACAGGCAAGATCTTGATGTGCTGGTTCAACCGAGAGCGACCCAAGCCTTTCGACGAGAGCTCAGCGAGACCAACATCAGGCACAGCCACCCGACACCGTCCTTCGGGCCAGCTCCGGCAGCCTTGCCGATCTCGGCTCCTTCCCCAGCACCACCAGCGTGCACAAGCTGATGCCGGTGCCGGCATCCCGGCACAGCCACCGCAGGAGGGGGAAGCTTTCCGCAGGTCTCCCTCTGGCTCCTGCGGCTCGGACCTACGGCAGGACCGCGGCGCCGCCAGCACCGGCGGGGGGACCCGGCCGTTCTCCCTCCCGCTCCTCCGCTCCGCTCCTCAGAAAGCGCCGAGGCACCCATCCCGCCCACCGGGAGCCGGTCGGAGCTCCGGGGGGCTGAAACGTCCCGGGGTGGGGCGAGAGCGGCGCCGCCGCCGCGCCTCCCGGTGCCCCCGGGCCGAGCCCCGGCCCGCCCGCCAGGCGAGGCCAGCGGCGCTTCCCGAGCCGCCCCACGAAGTTACGGCCGGAGTCTCCGCGGCGAAACAAAAGATGGAGCAGGGGCGGGCGGGGAAGGGTCGCGCCGCCGCCTCCGGCCGGGCAGGGGCGGCTCGCCGGGAGCTGCGCCCGGAGCGCTGATCCCGCCTCTCCGCCAGCCCGTCACCGCTCTGCGGGCTGAGCCTGGGACACGGCTCCGGCCGCACCGGGCGGGGAGGGGAGACACGGGGGAAGTTGAGGGGGCTCCCCATTCATTTTCGAGAGCACCACCGGGCAGGGGCGCTCCCGGCCGAGGCCGCGCCGCGGTCTGCTCACCTTACTCTTCACTTCCACCGCGCTGCACTCCAGATACCGCAGAGTCTGAGATTTGTTGAAACTCCGGTTCATCTTCCCGGCCCCGCTGCCTCCCCTTCCCGCGCCGCCGGCCCCGCTCGCGCCGCGCTCCGCTCCCGCGGCCACTTTGTTCCCGGCGCGCGCGCGCGCGCCAACGGCAGCGGCGGCGGCCGCAGGGATCCGCGCGGGGCTCGCGCTCCGGCTGGGCCGGCGGCGGGCGGGCGCCTTGGGCCGGCGGAACACGCCCCGGACACGCCCCGGACACGCCCCGGACACGCCCCTCGGCGGCCGCGGGGCTCGGGCGCTGCCGGCGGAGCTGCGGAGCAGCAGGCATTGGGGCGGGAAGCGGCGTCTGGAGCG